TCATTATAATAGTTGAAACAATAATTACAACAACAATAATAATTTGAGATTAAATATACTATTATAATTAAATGAAACTGTATGTATGTAGAAGTACTTCTGAATTAATTAAACGCTCTATTGTTATTGCAAAGCAACATATTTGATTTCATATATAAGTTAGAAACGAAAATATAGTGAAGGTATACATTTGTAAAATAATAATCTTGTTTTCATAGTAATTTGTAATTAAAATCATTAAATATTAAGATTCTTTCTAACTTCTCTCTGAATTAGTAAGTCTACTAATCCAAAAGCTGGTTTATTAATCTAAATTCAGCAACTAATTTAAATATTAAAAATGGTGTCAAATAACTCATTGTCATCATCTGATTAACAGACCAAAAATTTGTAATTCTGTTACCAAATTATAAATTTTTGGTTTGTTGGTCGAGTTTTCTCACTTGAAAAATTCAACAGTTAGAGATTTCATTATAATATTGATCCTTTGCCCTTTAAATATTAGAGAATGCAGCCTCTTGCACAATATCGAAGTTTGGTACATTAGATTATTAAACTCATCACTTATTTCTCACCTTTCAGGGTGAGCTTTTATTTAAGTCCTTATTGTACATATTTCATATTATATCCTGTTTTCTCTTCGAAGGTTTCTGTATCTATTGCTTTCAAGACAAATTTTTTAATTATACCAAAATTTGCGAATATTTCTTTTTATTTAAAATTAATACTTTCTCATGTATTATCAGAATGAAGCTGAAACTAGCACCGAGTTAATTTTTCAAAATTTCATGTTGGTTTTAAACAAAAAAAAATATTTAAGTTTACAAAATTAAATGGATGCCAGTTTCAGCTTTATGCTATCAAAATGTAGAGACAATTTTTTGTCGGAAAGATTTTTTTTACGAAAAATATTAAAGAAAGAATAATTTTCTTTCCCGATTCGCCAACAAAAATTAAGTCATCAGTTTTTTGAAGAGTAATAACAATAATAGTACGAAAATTGTGGAAATGAGAATGGAAAGGTAGTTAAATTGAAATCAGCCTGCAGGTGTAATGACCGGGGAGTTAGTGACGTATTTCAAGTCAAGTTCCGAACTTGTGGAAAGTTGATTCACAAATGACTTCCTTTATTTTATATCTCATTTCGAACTGAGTTTTCTATTTCAACTCCCATACTGTATAATTTCATTGATTTTAAAAAATATACTTCTCTCTAAGAGCTGATTTTTTGAGAAATATTTTTCTTCTTTAACAATTTTCTTCGTTTGTATAATAAATATTTACAAAAATAATTTTTCATCATTTATTTTTTGCAATGTTTTGTCAATATTTATTGCTTTTTGAATTAAAATGCTATTTATTTTGCTGTCTGTCTGAAAAGAATGACTCCGAGTTTTTATTTTCGAAATGCAGATGAAGCACAAATTATATGAATCATGTGGACAAAAATTTTTATAAAAATGTCAAAAATCCGTCGAAAAAACGCATGAATTTGGAAATGATCCAATATTTTCTTTTCTTTTTGGTCTATGTCAAAATAAAATTGTCCTTGAATGATTTTTATTCGTGAAATTTCTATATTCTTGTAGAAAATTGCTTTTCGATATTATAGATGAAATGAATATATGAAAATTAAACTCATAAATTTTGAGAAAGTCAAAATCAGCAAGGGAAACGAAGTTTCATTTCATTTTTCAAATAATTTTTTACTGCTCTTGATTCAAGTATCTTTTCTTTTCGTATTACTATTTTTCTTCTTCTCTCTTCATATTTTCCATCTTGAAAAGGAAGGTGTGAAAACGCTTTATTTCATAAGTTTGCAAGAGTAACATCCGTGGTGTTATATCACAGTTTCACTGAATATATTGATTATAATATTAATTTTTCATTTCTTGAGAATATATGGTTGATGTTCTTCTTTATTTATGGTTAAAAATTTCGTTAACTTTTTTTTTTTTTGAAAGGAAGGTATATATTCTTTTTTATGTATGAGAGAAGAGAGAAAGAGAGCTTTACTAGAATTTAGGTTCACTAAATATAGCAGACCTCCACTATGAAGTCCCAGGTCGCCAGGACGGAACGACGAGAGGCAACTGCTTTCGTTTGACTCGATCCAAAAACAAACTTCAGAAGATAGGTTGACACTTGCATTGTTTAGTCTATTATCGAGACAATAGATTGTCCGAAAAGAAAAAAAATACATTCGTTTCTTAAATAATAGTTATTTAAAATTGAAACCTTTTCTGTCCCCGTCTAAACTTTATTTACATAGTAAAAATTCATCCACTAATTCATTTTGTTAAAAATCCCTACTAATTTATAGTCAAGCACTATTTTATTCAGAATTTTTAAGTGTTCCCTTTGAGTTTTGGTGAAGAACTTTATTCCCTTTGCTCTCTTCTACAAATTAATTTAAACTATTTTAAAAAAAAAAAGGAAATTCTACAATTTTTTAATTTGCTCTTTTAGAAGATTCGAAAATTAATCCTCCTTATTTTAATTCCTTTAGAAATTTACAGGAAAACTACAAAAGCTGCAAATAAAAAAGAGTGATTAAAACTTATTAAAAGAGTTTTCAATATTTTTGAAATTTATTAAAAGTCAGTAGAAGAAAAATACTTATTAAGAATTGGATGTAAATACATAAAAATATATTTAAAGGCAATAGAGGAAAAATATTTATTTAAATTAGATATAAAAGCATATTAAAATATTAAGTATACCATTTTTCAGAATATTTAGTTATGAATTATTTTTTTCGTTTTATCTTATCTTAAAACAAATTTCTGAGCAAAAAATTGTAGAACTTGATGTTTATTTTAAAATAAAATAAAAAAGCGTACGGATTGCGCAAGGGGAGACAATATTCTTCCCCTTTTATTGCGTTCGTACTATACTTATTTTCATAAAAAAAAAGAATAATGCAATCGATAAGCAGAAAATTTGTTGTCACATGCGGAAAATATATTTTATTTGTACATGAATTAGAAAAAAATAGATTTCAAAAATCGATTAGGAAAATAAAAGTAGACAAAAGGAATTTTTATAATATTTACTAAGGAATTATTCATTAGAATATAAATCTGGATAGCTACAACAATAGTTTTACGTGTCAATGTATTAATTATTTTTATTTCAACAAAACGGTTTGTTATCATAGTAAGAAAAAGAAAAGAAATTATTTACATTGGAAACTAAACGATATTGATTTATAGCAATCCAAATTGCTAAGTTAATAAGATTGAAAAAGAACTAACTATAAATTTTCTGATATTTTTGATTAAAATTAAATTCGTGTTTTTCAGAGAAAAACGTAAAGAAAAGAAAAAAAGATAATTCGGTTGTTTTTTTGATATATAACAAAAAAATATGCTCCTAATTTTCACTAATATATATTTATATTTGTACGTGGGAAAACGCACATTTGCCTTCTAGGGTTCTGAGCAAGATATGAATAAAAGTGGAGAACTATAAATTGATACAGATCAGGATTTATGGTGTATATACATTTCTAGTGTATACATATACAACTATTGCTTTCAGTAGACTTTTATTCATACAAATAGGATTGAATTAAATTTTTGCTTTCAATGCAATTTTTCACTTAAAAAAAAAACAAAAAATGGTAAATATTTGTGACGCGATTTGAAGAAAGGGACCTTAGAAGCAAAAAATTATAGGTTATGTTTGCAATTTTTTAAATGAAAATACAAAAAAAGGATCAACTGTCAATATAAATCATTGATATTTAAGTCTTCATTAAAACTAAAATATTTAATAAACACTGATTTTAATTCGAAATAAGTAAAAAGAAACTTTCAAACAAGAAAAAAGTAACTCTAACCCAACCTCAAAATGATTTGCTTCTAAGGTCCCTTTCTTCAGATCGCGTCACATTTATAGAAAAATATTTTATACACGTTCGTCAAATTACAAATGGAATAATTTTAAATATTGTTTTTTATTTTTTTTTTTAAAAGGAAGGAAGTTTTTATAGTAGTTTGAAATATAAAAAATAAGGTCAATATTTTATTTCGACTCGATCAAACTCCTATATCCTCGGCATTTTCACACTCACCCCTCGTGTATTCATGAAAAAAATATATATATGTGGTGGTCTAGGCATTTCTTCGAAAATGTATATTATTGCTCGAGAGAATAATCAATAAAATGGTTCTCGATGAGCTGCTCATCTTGACTTTAAATCAAGCTCAATCGAGTTAATAATTAAATTATTCTCACGAAAAAATTCACCGCTGCATCATCTTTGAGAATTGTTTATCAATTTTTTTTAGGTATAATTTTTATTTGTTCTGTTAATTACATTTGAATAAAGGTGTCAACATTTTTACTCATCTCTCTTTTTTTGTAAAAAAAAGTCGAATAATTTAAAGTTGGTGGCATTTAAAACAAAATTCATTAAATAAGTTTGTACGCGTGATTAGTTTTCGGAAAATAGTTGGAGAAGGTTTGAAACTAATTTATTGAAATTGCAATAACAAAGTGGGCGATACATATTAGATTTTCCAGGAGTCGCTCTATCGACTCAAAGTGGTAATTACTTCGCCATCCACTAGTTACTCAGTTTTCTTGTGTGAATACCATTTTTTCGTCTTTTTATATAACCAATACTATTATCCAATTTATAGCCAAGTAATAAAGTCATCGTCACAGAGTCGCCAGAATTGTATTCGTTAGTTAAAGCTCGACAAATCCTTTCATTATCTTTTTTTTACACTAGTTGCACCGATTGAAATATTTTTAGCGAGATCTATATAAATATTGAAAAAGAGATTTTTTTTATTAGTAATATTATTCAACAAATAATGTAATTAAATAAATTTAGTTGAGAAAGAATAATTTACTTAATAATTCAATTAAAAATTTAAGTACATATTTAACTAAAGTAAAAATTTAAGTATACAATTTTTAGTAACTTAATATTTTCTATATTTTATTGGTGTTTCATTATTAAAAATTATTTATTGTTTCTTTTTCAGCTCGCAGAGGAATACCAAGAGGATAACCGGGCCGTAGCATGCGGATCAATTGCGGAAAGAATGTCTTTTTGACTCCACGTCGATCATTGGCCGAAAATCGGCGTCAATCGTCGAGGAGCCGCAAGCGATCAAGAAGAACGGAGTTCGACACTAGCGACCGATGAGCACGGGGGATGGCGGCTCAGCGTTGGGCCCTTTACAAGGAGGGGCCCAGCCCACGGCCGCGACCCCCTCCACTGCCACCTCTCCACTTCAACAGTCCCAACAAGTTGCACAATCCGGAGCCAATGTCTCACAAACGGGACCCGGAGCCGGAGCCGCGAGTGTGGCTGGTCAGGCCGCAGTCAAAGCTTCGGCTCCGAAACGTCCGGCTCGTCGTGGTGGTAAAGCAGCCTCCGATAGGCCCGTCAGGGCCCTCTTCTTTCTCACTTTAAAAAACCCCCTCCGGAAAATGTGCATCGACGTCGTCGAGTGGAAGTATCCTTTTTAATTAGAAAATTATTTTTTTATAAACTATTCTGCTGGATCATAGTGAGAACAATGGGACATTATGCACCAAGAGTGAAAAGAAGATGTTTTTCAATGAGTTTGAAAATTGCTGCTCTCGCTTCGCTCAAGCAGCCATTTACAAACTTATTGAAAAACATCTTCATTTCGCACGTGATTCACATGGTGCTTTTTGTAACACATGTTTAACAAAAAAAAAAAGATTTTCATACTGATTTGATGAATAAATTAATGAAAGTTGTGCTAGAAAGTACAATTTGTTGTATACTTTTAACACATGTTTAGATAAAAAAAAGATTTTCATACTGATTTGATGAATAAATGAATGAAAATTGTGCTAGAAAGTACACTTTTAAGTACACAGGGCTCGAACCAGTGAAAGTAATTGAAAATACGGACTTTACTGACCAAAAATGAAAAATTACGGACCAATTACTGATTTATAATAATTCAAGATAACCGAGTGATAAAATCATCAATTCAATTATTATTTTTAATAATTTTTGACTAAAATTCTTCTTAAAATAAATTATTTTTAATATAATTTTCGAAAAAGTTCTTTGACAATTTTCAAATCCATTTGTTTACAATATTCAATTTTACGAAATTTCAATTATACGTTATTTCTTCAATTAAATATATGTTACAAAATAAAAACTTTAAATAATATTTAAAAAATCAGCAATTAAACTTTCTCATAAAGATTCATTTCAAAATTCAATTATTACTAAAAATTCAAACTATATTGCTTTTAATGTTCAATTGAATTATCTAAAATTTTAACTAAAATTCATTTTTAAATAAATTTTTATTATAAAATTCTACTACAATTTAATTATTTAAATACAAAAATGAAAAAATTATTGAATAAATGAATGTTTTCAGAAATTGAATTCTTATTAAGAATTTTATGAACTTTTTAAAAAATTGAATTTCTTCGAACAATTTTAATAAAACATTTTTAGAGTTATTACATTTTTCGAGAAATTCTATTAAAATTGCATTAAAAATAATTCGTTTGTTTACAATTCAATTTTAAAAAATTTCAATTATTCGTAAATTTTTCAATTTAATATCTATTAGAAAATAAAAATTTTAAATAATTTCAAAAAACACAGAATTATTAGTTAAAAATATGAAAAATTCAGATTTTCAAAGATTTTAATTTGAAACCTTCTCAAAATTCAATTACTTCTAAAAATTCGTGCTCTAATACTTTTAATATTTAATTATTAATTGAAATTGTAATTAAAATTCATTTTTAAATCAATTTCTATTAAAAAATTCTACTAGAATTCAATTATTTTAAATTTTTAATACAAAAGGAAATAATTTATTGAGTAATTGAATGTTTCTTAAAATTCAATTATCGTAAGGAATTTTATCAGAAATATTTTTAAATAATTTAATTCTCTTGACGAAGTTTAATAAAATTTTTAAGAATAATTTTTCTAGGAATTCGATTAAAATTGCGTTAAAAATAATTAAAATTCAGCAATGAGTTTATGCAAATTCTATTTTCAATAATTGAATTCCTGTGTAATTTTCATTATTTTAGAAAATAATTGAATATTTGTGTAGAACTTTACTACTTTTGAAAATAATTGAATTATTGTGATGAACATTGTTATTTATAAAAATACGAAAATAATTGAATCCCTATAAAAATTTTATTATTTATAAAAATAATTGAATTGTTGCGAAGAAATTTATAAAAAATTTGCAAATAATTGAATTTTCGTGTAATTTTTATTATTTTATGACAATAATTAAATGTTTTCGTAAAATTTTATTAAATTTCTTGTAAATAATTGAATTTGTTTTGGAAAATTTCATTAAAATAGTAGATATTGAAAATCATTGAAAAGAGGAAAATTTTTGTAAATAATTGAAATTTTGCCAACAATTTTATTTATCAAAATTTTTGAAAATAATTGAATTTCGGAGAAGAATTTTATTATTTCTAAAGATAATTGAAATTTACACGATAATTTAAAAATAAAAGTTAATATAATTGAATTTCTGCGAAGAATTATATTATCTTTGAAAATAATTGAATTTCTGCATTCATTTGTAATTTCTCTACAATTCTCCAAATTATATCGTACAATTTACGAATTTTTCGTTCTTTTTCAATCAAATTACGGACTTTACGGACTTTTTTTTACAAAAAAACTGACTTTTACGGACTTCAAGCAATGTTACGGACTTTTAGGGAATTTACGAACCTAGTTCGAGCCCTGAATACATAGAAATAATTTATGTACTTTGGACACGAGAAGAGAGCATGAGAACCAAGGCAAAAATCTCTTCCTTTAGGCCCGCTTCTTATCCACAAGCTGAAACTATCCCAAAAAAAAGAGCTAATCTAACAAAATGAATTCTACTCATTTATCATTTTAAATACTTAAAAATTGTAATTATAAAATTAATAATGTCACGTTCGGTAATTAATGTCATTTTTAGAAATTAATCATGTCACGCTTATACGTAAGCAAATATTTCATTTTCTATATTAGAGGGAAGGGAATTTTTCTGAAAATTTTTCTTACAAAAATTAATCAACTTCTTTCTCTCTCTCTTCTATTTTAAATTTTAATACATATACGTGTTTCGTATTCTTTTTTTTGCAATCAAAGATTTTCTGTTGATAAAAAAGTCTCATCTGCTAAATTTTTCAATATGATTTTTTCCTTTTGAAATGACGCACATATCGAGGGGTTTGAAACTGCTCGTTGATCCAATATACAGAGAATCATTCCCATGAAATATTTTTTATGTGAGAAAAGTTAAAATTGTCAATTTTTATTTTTTTTTACCCTCCCAACCAGATAGGATTTCCCTTTGAAGTATGATCTAATGCGATTCATTTGTGAACTTGAAAATTTTTGAAAATGGGTCATTTTGTTAATTCTTTTTTGCCCTGAGGATTAAATGTTCTGGAAAATTGGGTTTTTGGGAATAATTTGACAATTTATTTTTCTTATTAATTTTCGATACAAGCTTGATAATATTGTTTTGAAATATTCTTTAAAATATATTTAATATATCTTAATAATTAATAATTCATAATGAATTATATATTTAGTATATTTTTGTTTAATGATTTGATGTTTGTAGATGAAAAAGTAGAGGGATAAATTTAATATTCTATTGTTTATAATTTATAAAGAGATTTTTTTTTTTTGAATTCATGTATGTTTTAATTTTTTTCATTATAAGAAACTTTACGAGTATCTCAAGTTTTTATTGTTGATTTTTATTTTTATTGTGACGAGTACTATAATTTTTTTTTGTTCCTCGTTTATGGGAAATGATATTTTTTTATGATCCTTGGTATTTACACTTTCATTGTATTGCACTGGTCGTTATTGGCTCTCTGGCTGACCAAGACCGCAGATATCTACTTGCGGTCGCAGTACATATTGTATATTATATCTTCCTTTCTTTAATTCAATATCTTCCTTAATACAGTTCTATTATTTAGACCGTTCGAATGGCTTATTCTGATGACGATTTTTGCGAATTGCGTGGCTCTAGCTGTTTACACTCCATATCCTTATGGCGATTCAAATGCGACCAATTTCTATTTGGTAAGTGTGTTTTTTTTACTATTACTCTAATATTTATCAGCGTTAAGTTTTATTTTACTTTTCTTTTTGTTAACTCTTCAGGCGCAAACTTGAATTAAAGTCAGTATAATTTCTGAGCATCTTCTTCCTGAACGAGTAATTTTCTTGGTTTCTCATTTGCGTTGCTTGATTGCTTTGTGAACTGTCCGGTTCCCCAGTTATATTTTGTATGCAAAACTACAAGAACGCCTAGGAATTTCCAGGAGTCTGTGCTTTGCATTAAGATCGAGGAAAATGAACATTTTCTATTTCATTAAAGTTCTGGATATGAGATATAGAACTATGTTTGTAGGAGTAAATATAAAATTATGTTTTGAATCAGAAGACATTATTCTAAATTGGAATCAGTTCACTTGTATTCCAATGAATCTAGTTTGCTTAGCTTATTTCTAAATTTACATACTACGCAACTTTTTTATTTCAAAAATGACCTAATTTATTTACATCTACATACCACAGTTCAGGGAAATCAAGGAAAAGTCAGGGAAAGTAGATTTTATCATGGAAATCAGGGAAAAGTCAGGGATTTTTATTAAAAGTAGTGGGAAAAATTAAATGTTTAGAATTTATAAGAAAATTTGGAATTTTTTTTTGTGTCTTTTTGTTTGCCTAATAAAATTACCACGAATTCCAAAAAAAAACCTTAAATTTTTTCTATTTCTGACAATAATTTATTTTAAATAACTTAATTCTATTGAAGAACTGCCATAAAGTTATTACTTATAAATCATTTCATAAAGTATTTTTTTGAAAAATTTTAATTTCAATTCTAATGAAATTAGTTTCAATTCTAAAAATGTTAACGTAATTCTGTGAAAAGAATTCAACTATCTTAATAAATATTAAAATTCGTTCCAGAAATTCAATTATCTTCAAAAATTAAAAAAAAAATTCTCGTCAACATTTCAATTATCTTTATAAATAGCAAAATTCTTCGCCGAAATTCAATTATATTCAGGAATTTTTATAAAATTCATTGTAAAATTCAATTATTTTCATAAATAACAATATTCATCTTTAGAATTCAATTATTTTCAAAATTAATAAAATTCTTCGCAGAAATTCAATTATTTTCAAAAAAATCTAAAAAAAATTGTCAACATTTCAATTATCTTTATAAATGAATAGCAGAATTCTTAGACAAAATTCAATTATTTTCAAAAATTTTAATAAAGTTGATGTTAAAATTTCAATTATTTAAAAAAAATTTTTCTTCATTTAAAAATAAATAAAATTTTCCAAAAGAATTTAATTATTAAACAATAATTTTGATAATATTCTACACGAATATTAAATTATTTTGCAAAAGAATAAAAATTTTACAGGAATTCAATTATTTAAAATAGAATTTGCATAAGTTTTTTTCAAAAAAATTAAATGTTTTAAAATATGGCATTAAATTCTACGCAGTAATTCAATTATTTTTATAAATTTAAAAACTCTCTTTTTAAAATCATTCGGAGGAAGTCAATTATTCACATAAATAACAATGTTCATCACAAGAATTCAATTATTTTCAAAAGTAATAAAATTCAATTATTTTCAAAAATTGTAATAAAATTCATTGCAAAATTTCAATTATTTTTCTTAATTCAATAATTTGTATAACTATTATTTTAATAAAATTTACCAAAAGAATTCAATTATTTAATTTATTTAAAATTTCATAAGAATTGAATTATTAAAAATAGAATTTACATAAATTTTTTCGAAAAAATCAATTGTTTAAAACTTTTTTTTATGAAATTCTTCGCATTAATTCAATTATTTTCAAAAATAATAAAACTCATTGCAAAATTTCAATTATTTTTAATACAAGTTGAATCGAATTTCTCGAAAAATGTAATTATTCTTAAAATTTTTATTAAAATTCGTTGAAAGAATTTCATTCTTAAAAATTTTAAAAATAAAAAAATAAATAAAATAAATAAATAAATAAATAAATAAAATAAAAAAAAAAATGTAAAAAAAAAAAAAAAAAAAAATGTATACTAAAATTATACATAAGAATTAAATTTCAAGAAACATTCAATTATTCAATAAATTATATATGTTTGTATTTAAATAATTGAATTCTCTTAGAATTTTCTAATAAAAATTGATTTAAAAAGTGATTTCAGTTAAAGTTTTAGATAATAATTGAATTTTTGAGAAGTTTCTAATAATTGCAATTTTTAAAAATAATTGAATTTTGTAAAAGTTTCAAATTAAAATTTTTGAAAAATCTGAATTTTTCATATTTTTTTAATTAAAAATTCTATGAAATTAATTTCTTTCTAAAAGTTTAATCGAAATAAAAAATAAAAAAATAAAAAATTTGAAATTTCACGTAAAATTGAATTGTAAACAAATGGATTTAAAAATTCTCAAAGCAGAACTTTTTCAAAAATTGTTCAAAATTTATTTAAAGAAGAATTTTATTTAAAAATTGTAGAAAATAATAATTAAATTGAAATGATGAAAATAATTTTTCGGAACTTAGAGTAAAACATTTTTTCTAATTCAAATTTAGAGAGTTTAATATTCAATTAGTATCTAAAATTTTAACTGAAATTCATATTTAAATCAATTTTTATTAGAAAATTCTACGAGAATTCAATTATTTGAATACAAAAATAAATAACTATTGAAGAATTGAATGTTTTTTAAAATTGAACTTTCATAAAAAATTTTATCAACAAATTTTTAAATAGGTAATTAAAATTCTTTTGACGAATTTGAATAACACTATTAAGTATAATTACATTTTTCAAGAAATTAGATTAAAATTGTATTAAAAATAATTGAATCTCTGTAAAAAATTTGATTGAATTGAGAAAAGTTTCTGAAAATAATTGAAATTTTGCCAAGAATTTTATTAAAATCTTTGTAAATAATTGAATTTTGGAGAAAAAGTTTATTATTTATAAAGATAATTGAAATAATTGAATTCTTGAGACGAAGAATATTTTTTAATAATATTTCTTTTTAAATACCTAATTGAATTCTTTTGTGAAATTTTATTAAAATAATAAAAAAATAATATAAATAATAAAAATAATTGAATTTTGATAAATTATTAAAATTAATTAAATTTTTACGAAGAATTTTATTAAAATTATTTTGGAAAAAAATTGAATATTGTTAAAAAGAATTTCATTAAAATTTTTGAGAATAATTAAATTCTTTCAAGAAATTTAATTAAAACTGTTTTGAAAATGGTTATTTAATTCTAATAAACAAATTATATTAAAATTTTTAAGAATACCTAATTGAATTCTTTTGAAAAATTTTAATAAAATTTTTAAGAATTTGATTTTTTGAGATATTCATTTAAAATTGTATTAAAAATAATTGAAATCCTGCGATGAGAATATTCTTTTTATTCATTTTATTTAGACTGAAATGGACACATATTTTAGCTATTATTACTGATTCTGTATCAGTATGAAGTGATTAATTTGACATCAATTAATGCAATATTGTCAATTATAAATCCATATGAATGCAGTTATAGGAGTTGATGAAGTAATGAAACATTAAACAATATAAAGCCCAGTGTAATTGAATAAAATGAAAATTGATTAAAATTGAGTCGTTTAAACTGACTTAATATAAAATTTAGTGAATTGTCATCAAGTGTTAAATATAGTGAATATTTTAACAACACGCATTGGAAAATTTACAGGGACTTTGCCTTAAAACCACATGAAATTAATGATCTAAAAGCTTCATATATATGCAAACTCATGAATACCAAGTAGAAAAGTAACTAGCATTCTAGCGATGAGAAATAAGTATTATAGTTCCAAAGGGAATTGTGCGCGCTTTTCATACAAAAGGAAATGAAAGATAGTGATGCGGTAGTTGCATCTATATTCACTTTTTTTCCCCTTCCCTTCTCTTTTCTTGCACATAGCCTATCATGATCTTGAGTATCATATAGAAGTACACCATTAAGGGGACTGGATCCACAATTTCCGTTCATCAAGGCATGAAGCAATATTGATTTCAAAGCCAGAAGGAGTAGGTGGTTCGACTTGTTCGAGCCGAAAGTTCAATAATTGTTCAATCTTCCCTTGAGTAAGTTGCACCCTACTGTGATCGAGTGCCACAATCTACAACACATGCTACATGTTCTTCAATGTTCCAACTATATACTTGATGTGTATAGATGAACATGTTTTATATCTATAACTTTTGTTCACGTCAATTCTCATATATACATTCGTTTCGAACCAGTCAACCAAAAAAAAAATTGAAAAATATTTTTACATTATAAAGAAGCTTGGTTTCAACATACAATTCATAGATTGCTGCTACTCTATATATGTAAACTGCGTATTGTATTTAGAGTTTCTCATCTTGATAGAAAACCAATAATTCAATTTCAAAAATCCAATATAGTAAGTCGAGTATTTCACTGGTTCAACTCTAGTAACTGTTGAGTGGGATTTTCTATATTGTCTTCTTCTCCCAACACCCCTTTTCCAATGGTTTTGAATGAAAGGCGGATTTCTATTCATGTGAATAAACAAAAAAATGTAGTAAATAAAGTTGCTAATGTCAGAGAATTATTATTCGTAAATTTAGATGGGAAGTGTACGTTTGAATGAAATGAGTGAACAGTCGAAGACTAACTTTTTTTGCGAACGTATATCTAGTGATGCTCTTCTTTTAAAAAAGAGGAGAGATAAAAAAATTCTCTTGTTTTCGATGAGAAAAATTTTTTTGTTATGATATATTGTTGAGTTTGATGAGAGTTTTCTGAATTTTATGAAATGGTTTTAATGAAGGAAGAAGCATATATTTTGTATCACTATAGCAGGCTTTGTACTAAACTACTAAAGTCTACTATTTAAGTATTTACTACTATTTTACGATATGCTACTATTTGGATACTTTTTTTTTTAGATTTGTGACACTGAAAGCCACTTTTTTCTATTTTTGAAAATTTACACTACTTTAAATTCGCCAATGCA